AAGGCAGTCACTTAACCAACTAAGCCACCCAGGCGCCCCTTGGGGTGTTAAATCATATAAGTTCTTATACTAACCCTTTATCAGATATGTCATTTGCAAATACCTTCTCCCATTCCATAGGTTGCCTCACTGGGTTTGAGGAAGCATCGAAGACATCAGGGAGACCCTTACATGGTATTTAATAATCAAGAACTTCATCTGATTTGGCATAGGATGGTATATTTTAGACAGAGCTGTTAAACATTTCTGCTGGCTGAAACTTGTTCATTGGGGGTAACAGCTAAACCAGAGTGTCTTCAGGCAACCAGTGTCAGGACCTTGAGGCATACTGCAAAGACTTCCCAGGTGTGCTGCATGGTCTGTCCTTCCAGAGACTGGAAGAGGAGTGGTCAGACCAGCCAGCTGGTCTCAGCTCACTTTATGAAAACGTCAACCATTTTAGATGTTATTTGCAATAGAAGCATAAGATACAAATGGGCAGCAGTAATTAAACAAAAGCTTTCCAATGGCTTCTGCATTGTACTTACAATAAAATCTATACCACCTATAATGGCCTACAGTCCTACATAACCAAGTCTCTACAAATATCTCTTGACATGCATCATCATCCTTAATGTCTAGAATCCTCCTGGCCTTCTTTGTCTTCCTCAAAAATGATAAGCTTATTCTTATGATTTATGTACATTAGTTCATTGTTTTGGGAAAGACCTTCCCCCCATTTTGGCAAGGCTGTCTCCTTTTGATTCAGTCTTCCATCCAAATACCACCCAATAATTAAGTCATCACTAACTACTACCTCCTCTAAATAACCAACCTCCTAATATGGCAATTTGTTTTAGGTTTTCTTCATTGCACTTTTCACTATCTGCAATAATTTGTTTACTGATTTGTTTATTTGTTCATTTTCTGTTTTTCTTAATTTCATAGGAATGGAAACTTCATGAACACTGAATCAATGAATAACTGATGGCCCAAAATCAGAGCAATTGATAGTATCTGACACCTTAGTAACAGATAATGTGTTTTCAGCATATTATGTTCACTTCAGTAACTAAGATGACTTAACATAGTGCAAAAGTATAAACTCTAAAGAAAAAAAAGCCTGCAATTTAAATCCTAGTTTTACTACTTATTATCTAGGTAAATTTGTGTAAGTTTCCCTTTAAGTGGAGATGATAATATGGAACTCACTGGTTTATTAAATAATCCACATAACTCACCTAGCATTATGACTGACTCAATATGTTCTTAAAAACTGAAGGGTATTATAGTTGTCATTTATGTTAAGTAGCATATTATTTCCACCTATTCTTTGCTGTTCTGGAGAAATCTCTAGAACTAGAATGGAATCCATTATTCCCTCTTGTCCAGCATCCTTACTTTGCACTTTTTGTGACAGTCCATTGCTCTTGTGTGGTGCTAAGCCCATCCAAGAATGGGCACATGAGTTGGGTCTGGCTAATGACCGCCTCCGCAGGTCCTTTGCTGGAACTCTCCATGGAGGAGTAATGGGGGTAGACACCCTCTCTTCTTTGAATGCAACATTGGTCTTCACTGACCATCTTTACCCAAATGTGAAACAACCTTGCCTGAAAATGAAGCCCACACAGAGGAAAGAAGTACCAAGAGACAGGGAAAGAAAAGGGATTCTTGACGACCATACCCTTGGACCCAGCTGTGCCTAATGCAGCCACACCCCATGGATATACCTGTTAGATATGCCAATACATTATTTTGTTTATGCCAGTTTGAGTTTAGTTTCTGAAACTTGTAATCCAAAAAAAAAAATAACAATGTTTTCTAATAAAACACTAGTTTATTTATGTTTGTTAGTTTGTTGTAAGGCTAAGGGGTAAAAAAAAAAAAAGGCCTTTTCTGAGGTCTAATTAGCAAATAAATTAACATCCAGAATGAAATGGTTTTCAGCGAAAGTGTTAAAAAGGCTCTGGGCTATGAGGAGCTAGAGACACCTGAGGGCTATTTTTCTACAATGGACAGTAAGAGCCCCTTTAAAGAAATGGTCAATGTTGGCCTGTGGCCCCCCAGACCACGAACAGATTGCATAAAAGCAAGTTCAGAGTATCTGTGGTTACAAAGTAAAAGGAAAAATTAAGGAAGGAATTAACACCTTTATTCAAGAAGTAAGCAGGAAGAGAAGGCATTACTGGAAGTAAAGAGGAAAATAATTGTCTTCCTGTGTAAAGGAAACTAAATATGCAACAAGTAGGATATAGAGCAGCTAATTACTGACAAGGGTACTAATTTGTACCGAGGGGTTTATGTGCTTTTCAAAATGTTTTCTCCAGAAAAGATGGATTAAAATGTTTTCTTATGTGAAGAAGATAGCATGCATTGGTATACATGCTGTTTTTCTTAATAAAGAATCTTAAATATCTTATCAGGTATCTGTTATAAATGAGTATCTATTCTATTTCTGTCAAAAAAATACCCACAGGGGTGTGAATGCTAGGCTACATCTCCATTTCTCTCTGTTATACCTAAATAAGTTAATGCAACTAAACATACATTTTGGAGAACATCCTATGCAAAATACTTTGATAGACACCACAGGAAACACCAAGATAAAAGTATCCCTCATCTTTTTTTTAAAGTATCTCTCATCTTAAGAAGCTTATCATAGAATAAAGAAAATGAGAAATCTGTACACATAACTATCATCAGGGAGAAAAGCTGAATTCTGTAGTAGCCATAAAGGAAGTAAAATGAAAGACATTCATTTAGCCTAGGGCAGTGGTTCTGAAATTTGAGCATGCATGAGAACCACCTGGAAGACTTGTTACAATGAAGATTGCTGGGCTCACCCCAGAGTTTTTTTTTTAACAAGTTTGCAGATGGCATTGACCTGCTAGTCTGGGGATCATCCTTTGAGAACTCCAGGATCTAGGGAATTGGTTTGCAATTCTAGCCACACAGCAGAATCTCCTAGGGGACCACTAGAGAATCTAATGGCCAGGTCTCATCCCAGCCCAATAATAAAAGAAAAGTATTTTATGAAGACAACTATTAACTAGAGCTGGACATTGAATCATATGAATAGTAGTTTTATAAACAGCTGGAAATAGAGGACACAGATGCTAGATGGACGGAGAAAAGTCATGGTAGAAAGAAACTATGGTGCATGATTGGAAATGAGAGTACAGCATGACTGGAGCGTAGGTGGAGAAAAGAAATCTCAGGTCAAGTCATAATAGATCTTTTCTTTTTTTTTTTTTAAGATTTATTTATTTCAGAGAGAGAGCGTGTGAGCAGTGGGTGGGAACAGGGACAGAGAGAGCGGGAGAAAGCAGACTCCCTGCTGAGTGACAGGGGAGGGGGTGCTTCAAGCCAGGACCCTGAAATCATGACCTGAGCTAAAATCAAGAGTCAGAGGCTTAACAGACTGAGGCAGTCAGGCACCCCAAGTCATGAAAAATCCTGACTGCCATGCTAAGGAGGTTTTGACTCCTTTTTGGGACAATAAGAAATCACCAAATCCTTTGAGCAGGAGAGTAACACAGTAAGATGTGACTTAAAATTATTATCTGGAAGCAAAATCCCAAGTAGATTAAAACAACATGGGGGTCTTAGAGACAGGAGACGGTTAAGATGTGACAGCAATGGTCTAGACCTATTTTCTCAACTGGAGTCCGGGGATGTGTTCTCAGGGCCCACATGTTCTATATAAATGTTTTAATTTTGTTTCCTTATTTCAAAGATAACCTAGGAATGTATTTGATCAGTTACAAAGGCCAGACTTGTCTTTTGTCATGATGGTCCTCAACTGAAGATTTTCACAACACTGGGCTTAAGCTTCTTCAGTCAGTGTTTCTTAGTCAGTGGACATACTAAGCATTCAAGATTAACTATTTTGGTTTTCCCTGTGAAAGGGGTCATTACATGATACAACTTTGAGAAATAGTGATCTGGACGAGGTAATAAAATGGGGTTAGTCCCAGAGACATTTTAGTCAGATTCATCAGGATCTCCAACATTTTAGGAGGAAGAGAAAATGGGAAATCAAAAAGATATTGGGGGCTTTAAGGCTGAGAGCTTCACAAGTGATAAAATGATGGAACAGAGTAAAGCATCTAGGAAAAGGGACAGGTTTGTGTGAAGCTGGGGGAGAAAGACAAAGCATTTGTAGTGAAAGGAAGCCTATCTATTGGTCATAACTACAAGAATGAGCACCTCCCCATATCAGGAATTTTAGGAATTAATTTATCCTCAGAGTTTAGCCATATTGTGGACAAAACCGAAAAATGTCACAATAGTATTTTTGAATTATTAAGGCTTAAGGTAGAACAAGAACATTTTTCTTTCAAAATAAAAGCTATAATCTGTAAGTAACTTAAAAAGATGACCTGTTTGCAGAATAATTCATAAGGTAGGAGGGAGATATATATGCTAATGATTTGTCAAAAATTAAAGCTTTGAATTATAACACATTTTCTTTTCGAACTTACTGTGGCTAATTTTCCCTGCCATAGGGTCATTCTGCCAGTAACACTATTTTTAGAGAGGAAAAACAGCAAAATCCAAACATTAATATATGTATTTGAAAGTAGATATTTTTCCAAAACCAAGTAAATGCTGTGTCGTATCTTCTGTGTTAACCATATTCTTCTCTCTGTGTCAGGGTGCCAGGTGTTTAAAGGAACCTATTTTACTTACCCTTCATCTACTGCAACCATCTAGGGGACACCACTATAAAATATCTATGCTTTCTCCTCCCCCTGGAAACGGTCTAATAAATATTTAATTTTTGATCTTCTTCAGCAATTAAGACAATAGCACGAAAATTTTCCAAACATTTTTTTCTATTTTATTTTTAAAAAGTGTACTCATTGAAATTTGAAATAGTAAACCCTAAATAAAAAGACTTTATATCAAAAAGAGTATCATCATCAATCACTTAATAATGAGTATGTCAAAAACGCAATTCATCTACTCCTGCCAAAATATGAAAACTTACTTTTTTAAAAAATTGAACAATTACATACCTGAGCTTCTGGTTGTATTGTTTGACTTTTTCCAGTGAGGCTGCATTTATCTGGGCTTGAAATTCTTCCACTGAAACATTGTCTCTATAATAATATCCTTCCATGCTCTCCAGTGCTGTGTAAACAAGTAAATGTTCTCTTTCATGTGATTTCATAACTCAAGTTCTCCACATTTAGTGTAATCTTATTGATTATTAGTAAATGTATTTAAAACACTGACTATGACCACACATGCAAGAAACTATCTTTCACCAGTCCAGAAATGAATGAAAATCATTCCTCTCCTCTCAAAATAAATATCAAACATTTGGTGATTATATCGAGTGATATAATGAGGTATATCTAATAGGTAATTTCTAATTTAAACCATCTTCTATTTTTAATGTATATATATGCACATATACATATATATTATATATATACATACATATGTATGGGAGGCAGAACTGCGTATTAACCTACATAAGAGTAAAAAAGTTGAAATTGCTGCTCTCCATGTATACTTACATTCTCTTGCAGGTGCTTATGAAATATGAGTGTAATAAAATTGAAGTATAGATAATCTTAGAATACTACCTTTACTACAATGCTTAATTTAGTTAAAAATAAGTAAGTATAAACATACATATATAACTCCCCATTAATTTTAAACATCTTTTGATTGAAATGGATTTCCTTCTTAACTAACATTTTTGGTTAAGTATTTTTTCCTTTAAACTTCATGTGATGGTACTTTTAACCTTTTGGAGAGGAAATGAATTACATGGAAGTGCCTAGAAATACAAGATCTCCTATGGAGAGGTTGCCAGGAACAGAAATGGCAATGGATCCAATTTGGAAATGTAAATTATTTCCCCTTGAAATTATTGCCACTATTAAGCCTCAATTTTCAGCAGATTATTTCAAAATTGATTAAAAAAATTAATCCTCTTTCAAAACTGCTAAATGCAATAGCTTTTAAACTAATAAGTTTCTTCAAATTGACAAAAACATCACCGTTTTAGGGGCAAAAATAGAAAAGTCATTGCTAATTTTTTTTTATTATTTCCAGTTTTTATTTAAATTCCAGTTAATTAACATATAGTCTAATATTGGTTTCAGGAGTAGAATTTAGTGATTCATCACTTACATATAACACCTAGTGCTTATCACAAGTTCATTACTAATACTTGCTGGGCTGTTTTCTTGACTAGTAAGATTTCTATAGCACTGAAGAAACAAAAAACCTTTTAGAGTATTGCTCAATTTGAAATAAAAAAATGGTATTATTGGCTTATAATTGAGAAAACCACTTATGGAAAATTAGAGAGATGCTTACTACATTTACTTCAGTACATGATATCAAATTTGTGGGCTTGTTTCAAGGATTGTTTGTTTACTCCTTATGACCTCTGCATTAATTAGAATATTTGTAACTGGTTCAGCAAGCTTTTGGTCCTGAATACATACAAGAAATAAAAGGAAGTCTTCCTGGTTAAACAATCCTCAAATAAATGCCACATTCACTTCCATTAATGAGATGTTATTTGTGAGAGGCAAATATTCAGAGGATTCAGTCTATCAATAGTCATCCTTCAATGTGAATTCCTCTTACCAGTTGTAAAGCTAATAATGAAAGTCCTTGCATTGGAGTAAAACCACCAATTCACTCCTTATTAGCTGTATGACCTTAGCCATGTTAATTAAAATCCAAGATCCTCAGGTTCCTCATTTGTGAAATGGAAAATAAAAAAATAGTAGAGTACCTACTAATTATGATTCTTGGGAAATAATTAAATTAAATAACAGTATTAAGAGACCCCATGACTATTCCTTCCATTCATTGAATGTGTTTTATATATTAGACAACACACCCAATGCCCTACAGGCATTATCTAATGCAATTTCCAGGAGATATAGATTATGCCTAAGTGTGCTTAGCCAAATAGGAAGTTCTGGGAAGTAAAGAGGAGGGTCCATACAAAGACACTTCAATTTGTGATTTAAAATCATAAAGACTGGAAGAACACTAGGAAGGAGATACAGGGAAATTGTGGTGAGGGGTGGAGTGGGGACAGATACGAAAATACCTGGGGTCTAATTTTTATAGAAGTCTTGATGACTCAGTTTTGGCCAGAATGTTCAGTCCTGCTCTAAAAGCTTGTTGCCACATAAAAACAGACTGACATTTTTATGACTTTCCTTGACAATATTTCCAAATTAACAACAGTTAAAATACAGAATTACATAGAAATTTTTTTAAATGGGGAAAATGTTTAACAATCAGCAAAATGTTACGGCGCATGTGCAGGGCTGTGAGGAAATGAACAACAACAACAAAAACAGATGAGTTCTATATTTAAAAGTAAACTGTGTGGCAAAGAAGAGGAAAGAGAACAACATTCCTGATTTTAGATTAAGAGCTTGGTTATTTATCATTATAAATACAAGAAAATGGGATAATATTTTATCGAATTCAATTTCTATACTCAGCAAAAGTAGGTTAAATATATAATGTCCAAATTTCCCAGTTTGGCTCTCAGCATTTTCTCGTCCAGTTTCCTTAATTCTCATCCAGATAATAGTATGTTTCTTAAAAGTAGTATTGACATTCTTGGTTGCATAAATATTTAATAGCATTTAATTAAAAGCAGTATTGAAAATACGATGAGTTTCTTTGTTTGCTTGTTTTCCTTTTACCACTTCTGAATTTGAGGAAGCAAATCATCCCAGCAAACTTAGGCAGTCAGCAAAAAAGAAAAACATAATGAATGTTAGAGAAAAGTAAAGATTAAATTATTCTAAGACTGAAAATGAGCTGCATTTCCACTCACTCAAAATACCTTTCAAGGTTTTTCCAAGAAAGGGATTGATCAGGAAAAATACAGAATATCTGAAGAATAATTTTAAGAATAGTTTCAATTAACTAATACTCTTTCCTGATAGCATGATGACACTTTAATGGTTAAGTAAAACAAGACATCTGCACTGGTCACAGTTGGTCAGAATTCAGAAGAACTGGTCACAATTTCTGTGAGGAAAGCAAGTTTTATCAATCCAAATGTGACCAGTATGTTGGAAAAGTTGTGCTGCCTTTTAAAGAGGGGTGAGTTCACATGTTCATAGACTGACTCTAACATTTAGGAAATCTCAATTCTGGGAACTGTTCCTTCTTTTATAAAAAGCTATTTAATGCTTCAATTTCAAATACAGTATAAAATCTGAAGGGAAAACTAAGGAATTCATCTTTTAAAGGACCTAAAGTAGAGTTTTGCAAAACCTCAAAATAAAAAATAAATACTTGAATGAGGGAACCTTAGAAAATGACAATGTTTATCACAAAATGTTCCCTTTTGTTTAAAAGAGAAAACGCTCTATACTGGATTTTTTTTTTAAATTAAAAAAAGTAATAGAAGAGAAAATGCTCAAGTTCTGGTTGATTTTAATTATTCTCTGAGAATAGAAAGACAACTTAAAGAGGTAAGAGTTAGGATTTATCACTTCTGGTGCCAGCTTTTTTCATAAAGGCAGAAAAACAAATATACACAAGAGTGTGTTTGTGGAGAAAGGACCAGCATCGCATGTCCTAGTTAGTGTAAGGAAAACCATCATAAGAGACCCAGGGAACAGGTGCCTAACAATACAAAGAACAGATACCATATTCCAGGACACAGTGCAACCAAAATCAAAGACCTTTAATGATGCCACATCCCTAATAGGTAGAATACATGGGTCCAGGAACCAAGGGTGGAAGCAGAAAGGTCCCTGCTTAACATCTGTTGAGGGCTGAATTGTGTCCTCCAAAAAGATACGACAAACGTCCTAACCCCTGGTAGCTACAAATGTGACCTAAGTTTTATATAGGGTCTTTGCAGAGCCATCAACTTAAAATGAGGTCATACTGGATTAGGGTGGGCCCAAATCCAATGACTCGTGTTCTCCTAAGAAGAGGGAAATCTGGACAGAGATACAGAGACAGACCCACAGAGGGAGGAAGGTCGTGTGAAGACAGAAGCAGAGACTGTAATTACTCTGTCACAAGCCAAGGAATGCCGAGGACAGCTGGCAACCGCCAGAAGCTAGAAGATAAGGAAGGATTCCTCCTTAGAGCCTTCCAAGGGAGCATGGCCTTTGGGCATCTTGATCTCAGATTTCTAGTCTCTGGAAGGATGATAGACAAATTTCTGTTGTTTTAAGCTACCCAGTTTGTGGTACTTCGTTATGGCAGCTCTAAGAAACTAATATGACATCAGTCCCAGTGCCTCACTTGGGGATGTGTGCTTCCCATCCCTGAAACTCCGGCTCCATGGGTTTAAAATGTCCTGATCACCAAAGAGGCACACTTTCCCTAGGAGACAAGGCAGGGGTCCCACTGAATGTAAACTATGGTTGCCACCAGGGTATTGAGGGCTCCTTGTGCCAAGGCACCCAGGAAGAGCAATCACCATCTTGGCAAGGCTAGTGGACCCTGATCATGGTAAGGAAGTAGGGCTATTGTTACATAATGAGGGCAGGAAGGAACGTGTTTGGCACCTGGTGAATCCACTCAGGTCCCTCTTGGTACTTCCCTTGTCCAGATTTGATGGTAAATGGACAAATGCAGCAACCCTGTCCTGAGAAGGGCAGAATGAACAGGGGGATTAGGCCCCTCGGGGATGTAGGTCTTAGTCATGCCACTGAGACCGGAAGGTTCAGGCTGAGAGCAAGGCTGATCTACAACAAATACAGAAGAGGGAAGATGAGCATCTGCTGCAGCCCCAAACCAGCTATAGCAGCAGGGGCTATGGCTTGTGCCCTTACCATGCTTCTTCTAGATTATCTCCCCAGGAAGGGAGCCCATCAGAGTCACAAAGGAGACGCTTCTAGTCTTGACTTGAATGGATCTAAGGGTACAAGGTGTGGATCATGCAGGTCGCCCACTTGGATCTCCTTCCAGAAAGGATGGGCTTATTGCCTAGCTGTTGGGATTCCTAGAAGATATCCCTCAGCCGTCTGCTCTTTAGGGCATCTTCAGTCTTTGCTGAAGAAAACTGTCCCACCCAAATCAAATCTCCTAGGGGCAGCCTGCATCCTAATGACCTAACAGTGCAGAAGTGAAAACACCCAGCTCCCTTGCCCTGGCTCCCCCAAATCTAGAAGTGTCAAGCCTTTGTGAAATGGATTATCTAATTAAGCAAA